GAGACTTTTCGCAAAGTTCTCCAAGTGTGAGTTCTGGTTGCGCGAGGTGCAGTTTCTTGGCCATCTCGTCAACCAGAAGGGTATTTTGGTAGATCCGGCCAAGATTGAGGCCGTGATGCAGTGGGAGGTCCCGAGGTCTCCATCTGAGATTCGGAGCTTCCTAGGGTTGGCAGGGTATTATCGGAGATTTATTCAGGACTTCTCCAAGATAGCAGTGCCACTCACCCGACTAACCAAGAAGTCGGTGGTATTCCGTTGGGGGCCTGAGCAGCAGGCGGCGTTCGAGACTCTCAGACAGAAATTGTGCGAGGCACCGATCCTTACCTTGCCGGAAGGAGTAGAGGACTTCGTAGTCTACTGTGATGCTTCGATCACAGGTATGGGAGCAGTATTGATGCAGCGAGGCCATGTGGTAGCTTATGCCTCGAGACAGTTGAAGCCTCACGAGGCTAACTATCCTACCCACGATTTGGAGCTGGGGGCAGTTGTGTTTGCCCTCAAGATTTGGAGACATTACCTGTATGGGGTCCGTTGTACTATATACACGGATCACAAGAGTTTGCGGTATCTTATGGATCAGCCGAGTCTGAACATGAGGCAGAGGAGGTGGTTGGACGTACTAAAGGATTATGATTGTGAGATCCTTTATCATCCAGGGAAGGCCAACGTGGTGGCCGACGCCCTAAGCCGCAAAGTGTCGGCGGCCCCTATCAGGGATCTGTGCATGAGGATGACAGTGATCACTCCGCTGTTGGAGCGGATCAAGGAGGCTCAGGTGGAGGGCCTCAAGGAGGAGAGGCAGAAATGTGAGAGGATAGTGGGTCGAGTAGCATCGTTTGATTACGATAGTCGGGGTTTGTTGACGCTTCATGGTAGGGTGTGGGTACCGTACTGGGGTGGAGTACGGCAGGTATTGATGGACGAGGCTCATAAGTCTCGATTTTCTATCCACCCAGGGGCGACGAAGATGTATCGAGATCTTCGACCTGATTATTGGTGGCCCTGCATGAAGCGGGACGTCGCTTGGTACGTTGAGAGATGCTTGACCTGCCGGAAGGTCAAGGCGGAGCACCAGAGACCTCACGGCAAGATGCAGCCGTTGGACATTCCCGTGTGGAAATGGGAGGATATCACCATGGATTTTATCACCAAACTTCCCAGGACCGCACGTGGAGTGGATTCGATATGGGTAGTGGTGGATCGGTTGACGAAGAGTGCCCATTTTATCCCGATCCAGGAGAGTATATCGGCGGAAAAGTTAGCCGATATCTATGTGCGAGAGATAGTGGCACGTCATGGAGTGCCGGTATCGGTGGTGTCAGACCGAGATGTTCGTTTCACCTCCAGATTCTGGAAGCGGTTCCACGACGAGATGGGTACTCGTCTTCATTTTAGCACCGCTTTCCACCCTCAGACTGACGGGCAGAGCGAGAGGACGATTCAGACTCTTGAGGACATGCTTAGGGCATGTGTTCTAGATTTTGGGGGCAGTTGGGATATGTATCTTCCGTTAGCGGAATTCTCGTATAACAACAGTTACCATGCGAGTATTGATCGACCTCCTTTTGAGATGCTGTATGGTAGGAAGTGTAGGACCCCGATTTGCTGGGGCGAGGTCGGTCAGCGAGTCATCGGGAGCACCGAAGTGGTGCTCAAGACGACTGAGTTGATCCAGCAGGTCCGTAGTAGGCTGCAGACTGCGCAGAGTCGGCAGAAGAGCTACGCTGACAGGAGGCGTTCGGACTTGGAGTTCCAGGTGGGAGATATGGTTCTTCTGAAAGTCTCACCTTGGAAAGGTGTCATCAGGTTCCGGAAGAGGGGCAAGCTGGGCCCCAGATTTATTGGTCCTTTCAGGGTTATGGCCCGGGTGGGTCGGGTTGCTTATCGGTTAGATCTTCCTGAGGAGCTTAGTCAGATCCACAACACTTTCCACGTGTCGCAGTTGAGAAAGTGTTTGGTGGATGAGTCAGCAGTCGTTCCCCTAGAGGATATTCAGGTTGATAGCAGCCTGAATTATATTGAGAGGCCGGTCGCGATTCTGGATCGGAAGATCAAGACCTTGAGGAACAAGGTCATTCAGCTAGTGAAGGTGCAGTGGCAGCACCGGAAGGGATCTGAATGGACGTGGGAGGCTGAGGAAGAGATGAGAACGCACTACCCGGAGTTATTCGCAGATCCAGCCGTAGCAGACTTCGAGGACGAAGTCTGAGACAAGTGGGGGAGAATTGTAACGACCCGTTCCCGGTATGTTAATTAATTGTTAATTGTCTAAGTTTTCAAGAGGGACTCGGCGAGTTCTAGCCTGACTCGCCGAGTTGGGTCGCGTATTTTGTGCACGCGGGAGCCGGGGACTCGGCGAGTCCATATCCCGGACTCGGCGAGTCCGTCCGTCTGGGTGAAACCCTAAATCCCCGGGTTTGCCCACTATTTAAACCACATTATAGCCTCATTCTCGCCACTTTCACCCTGAGAACACAGTGAGAGAACCCTAATCCTCCCTTGAGAGCTTATAAGTGATTTGGTGCCATTTTTGTGAAGGTGTGAAGAAGGAGAAGAAGAAAGAAGCAAGGAAACGAGTTGTAGTGCAAAGATCCAAGGGCAAATCTGAGTTTATTGAGGTATTTTCGGAGTTCCCTTCTTGTTATATGCTTTAAACTTCCATTAGAGCTCTTCTAAGAGCTATTTGATGTTTGTTCCAAGCCTTATGTTTGCATGAATGTCTTAATAAGTCGAAATACCTTTGGATCTGAATGTTGGGGTGTTGTAGAGCCCAGATCTACTGTCTTTTTGGAGTTACATTGCATATTAGCCATGGATCTACTCATTTTGTGCATCTTTTAGCCCTATTTCCCTTATTCATGAGGTTGTGCACGTAAAGTTGGAAACTTTACGTGGTAAAACAGCTTATTGGACCCAGATCTATCATTTGCATGTGTTGGATTCAAGAGAAATCGAGTAAAAACTAGCTGCATGGCAGCGACTCGGCGAGTCGGGATGAGCGACTCGGCGAGTCGGGTCGCGAGTCCCCGATTCCTTCGTTTTTAGCAGTGCCGAGTGCACCCAGTGAGTTAGAGAGTGGACTCAGCGAGTTGAGGGTAGACTCAGTGATGGAGGGACTCGACGAGTTGTTCATACAACTCGGCGAGTCCAAGGCAATCTCCTTAGGATCAAGAACAACTCGTCGAGTCTGTTCATACGACTCGGCGAGTCGGATGAAGATTGTCTGAGTTTTGGATCAAGAGGGTACTCGTCGAGTCGATGCCACACTCGACGAGTCGCAGTGAGTATGAGTTGGAAGTGAGAGTGAGACTCGGCGAGTTGGGCGGCCCAACTCGGCGAGTCAGCCCCAAAAGTAAGTTGACTTTGACCAAGGGTAAAAGAGTCATTTTACCCCAAGTGCAGTGTTTAGTATTTGATTGAGTGTGTTCATGGACTTGTAGCCGAGGAGATTCAGGAGCAGCAGCCGTTAGCTTTCAGAGACACACACTCAGCCGCCAGTTTACGAGGTGAGTTTCCTTCCAGTAGGGACGGGTCTAAGGCCACAATGCCGGCCCGTCCAGTTAGCAGTAGTTTCCGGACTTGATCCGATGCAGTAGTTAGTATGTTTGATGCCTTCGTGGCTCAGACAGGATTTGTGAGCTATGTTTTATGTGTTATGTATTATGTGTTCCGGGCTACGGCCCGATGTAGTATGCAGTATAGTGTTCATGCTAGTTGTTATGATATGCTATGCTATGCTCAGTTCGGACTTCGGTCCGATGCAGTCAGTTCCGGACTTCGGTCCGATGCAGTCAGTTCCGGACTTCGGTCCGATGCAGTTAGTTCCGGACTTTGGTCCGATGCAGGGGACAAGGTCCCAGTCAGTTCCGGACTTCGGTCCGATGCAGTTAGTTCCGGACCTTGGTCCGATGCAGGGGACAAGGTCCCAGTCAGTTCCGGACTTCGGTCCGATGCAGTTTCCGGGCTTCGTCCCGATGCAGTGGGCAAGGCCCGATATGTGTTTATATGATATTGTTATTGTATGGTATGTGGTATTTTGGGGGAGCTCACTAAGCTTCGTGCTTACAGTTACAATTTTTGTTTCAGGTACTTCCGCAAGCAAAGGGAAGAGCTCGGGATGACGGCATCGCACACACCACCGCCTCAGCTTTAGCCTGGGATTGATTTAGTTGTTTGATTTGATGTAGCATGATACAGTTTCCGCACAGTATTTTATTATGTTTTGGAATACATCACGCATGGTTTTATTATATGATACTCTGATTACAGTTTTGATTATATTAAAAACAAAAATTTTTGGGTCGTATTTTTGGGTCGTTTCATGATTTTTTCAAACTCTTGACTAACAACCAAAATTACTTGTTTCATCTTCATCTTACATATGCTGATCTGGTTTTCCAATGTAGAAATTTTGATGATTAAATTGCATAGCTCTTTTTGGTCCTTCCTAGAATTGACTTCATTATCAGGGGTTCAGGCTCCAACCATTCCCATAACTTGCATTTTGGTCCTTCATTCTTGAAAAAAGTAACAAATTGGTTAAAGAAAGAACATTAAACCAAAAAGATAAAACATTTGATTTACCATGGAGTTAGGGCACAATCTGAACTTTTTTCCTGTATTGTCTTTAGTTCGTGAATTTTGTACGCAAGATGGTAACCCACAATAACAAGGATTTTCAAGTTAAAATTCAGTATTTCGTTTGGAAGAGATAGAAGAAGAAGAAGAAGAAGAAGAAGAAGAAGAAGAAGAAGAAGAAGCATCCATATCGATCTAGGGCACAACTGATGAAAATGATGCATACTGGAGCTTAATATTGTATGACTTGTATTTAATAAGCCAAGTGTATGCCATATAATGCCACGTAATATCCACATAAGTACTAACCTACAACAACCGGTCGTGATGGTTTTGATGAGCAGGAATACTAAATTCAATAGTATAATAAAGACAAAAAAAGATAAGGGACCTAATGAAAACAAGACGAACACTTTATTACCCTCCAATGTGATTTTCCCATTTTTTTTACACCAAGCAACCGCAAATCAGATTTTTCTTGTGTATTATAACATATCAAAAGTGACATAAAATGATGTACATGCATGGTGTAGAAACAGAAAAGACAAGGATTTTGACTAAACATCGGGTGTATATCAAGAATGAATGCCATCAATTTGGTGCTCTCTCGTTAAGTATTTTCACTCCAATGTATCGGCCTAACATCATAAGTGTTGCCTGTGGATTTGTTCCCGGTGAGCTGGAAAAGATGGAAGCATCAATGACTCGTAAAGAATCAACTCCTATGACTTTCAAATCACTATCAACCACCTTTCCTACCAAGCATCCACCATGGAAATGCCAAAATGTGGACAATGTTTCGCGACAGAAAGCCTCATTGGACTTCAAATGAGATGGATCCTCAGGTAGTGATGGCCCGATATATCTGAAATCCCTTCCACCAGATATGTCACTAAACTTGTATTCTTCCATGGCTTGAGTACCCAAAAAATCTCGAAGTACTTCCACAACCTTACCACATTCTATTATATCATTCGTGTGTGAGTAGTAATTAAAACGAACACTTGGGCTAACGTTTACATCAGAGGGAGATATTAATTGTAGTGAACCACTTGACTTTGGTCCTATAATCTTTCCACCAATAACCAGCACACTTGAGTTTAAAGGTATAATTGAACCCAAAAAAGGCACCTGTCGAGGGGCTGCAGAAGACTCGATGTATGGGCCATTTTTTACTATCCCAACAACTCGTGCTCCTACATCAAGCGATGCTACTGGGACCAAAATGTTAATTCCAGGACGTGGATTATCAACCATGAACTTTCCAATATACGGATTGTCGCGAACAACTGGAATTTTTAGGGACGAAAGGTATGAAAGTGGCCCGATTCCACTTATCAATAAAAGTTGTGGGCTTCCGAGAGCTCCAGCGCTCAAAATTACTTCCCCCGGTTTTCTTACATGGACTTCATGATAAATTCCTTCTGAATCATGGTATCTAACACCATTGGCAACTATTCCTGAAAGCAATGAACAAATTCAAAGGAGTCAAAAATATAACTAACAAAGAAAGAGAGAGTACTCATGGAGTCAATATGTAAAGTGGAATCTAAAGAACTGTTATTACCTAAAGATTTGGAGGTGGAGAAGATGACCCGATCAACTGTGGCATGGACAACGACCTTTAAATTTCCAGGTTTGGCTTTATTGAGGAGCTCCACCGATCCATGGCGCCTCCCTGAATCATCAAACGTGGAACCACTAATCTTGGTACCTTCAACATGGTTCAGGGTGAACCCATTTGCTGGATCAACTCCTGATTGTAGTAAAGCATTCAACATAGAAGTTTGCCACCTACCTAAATGATTCGGACGTGTTACAATACTATCTTCTACCCACTCATAGGCACTTTTCACACCACTGGTATTCCATTCAATCCCTGAATTCTTATAAAAGTAATCATCAGCCCTCGAATAAAATCCAAAATTTATCATGCTACTACCTCCTAAGACCCTCCCTCTTGCGTTTAGTACCCCTTCTTCAGAGGTGAAAGTTTGAGCAGGGGAATCATTATTATTTGCAGTTAGGAGGGGATTGAAGAGGTTATCTTCGTATAAGACGTTGGGATCTAAATTGGCTACACCCCCTCGCTCAAGTAGTAGAACTGAATATTTTTCGGATAGAGTGGCGGCTAATGGGCAACCAGCTGTTCCTCCTCCAACAATGATGTAATCGTATTCCTTTGCAGGTGAAAAATCAGTGGCTTCATTTGTGAACTCAAGGTAAGTTTCATCTGCATATAGAGGTGGTGAAACACAATATTATATCATTAGTATAACGAGAGAGAGAGAGAGAGAGAGAGAGAGAGAGAGAGAGAGAGAGAGAGAGAGAGAGAGAGAGAGAGATGACTTGCCTAGAAGAGAATCTGGTTGTAAAAAGCATACGACTTTTAACTGTAGTTCCATGCAGAGTATGAGAAAAGAAAGTGCAGCTTGCAATAATTGAGGTTTGGTTATCATCATATTGTTATAGGTGTGAGAGAGAAAGAGAGGAGAGGAGTATATATAATGATCGCCGGATAACACAAGTAGGCAGAGTGGCCAACAAGTCTTCAAAGGGTTGACATTATAAAGGATAAACCATTTAATATTATATTGATTGGGCTTTAATTCATTCTCCAGATCCGAGTTTTTGGTAGTTTCTTTGAGCATGCAGCAAACAACTTTTATAATATAAAATGCCAGCAGTAGTAGTTTGCACAAAGTACAATTACAAAGTACAATTGAAATGAAACAATAAGTGACAACACAAACATAATATATATAGTTAAATGTCCAGCACCGAAAGCGGCCATAACCTATATCCTATGATAATAATAATAATAATAATAATAATAATAATAATAATAATAATAATAATAATAAAAATTATTTTTCGTTTTGGAAGCGGCATATTTTATTACAAGTAAAGGCAAACCGACGGATTGAAAGCCAAGTTACCCATTTAATAGAAAATTAGAAAGCAGAATGTAATTTTCTCAAGTGAGCTGAACCAATTTTATTAATGTTGTTAATTAGAATATTTAATTATTGTTTTTAATATATTTCTAGTATAAATTAAAATGGAAAAGAACTAATTATGAAAACAAAATGGTTTGGAAATGAATCGAACCCACAATTGTTAAAGGAAGAAGATGATGTCATACCAACTAAGTTAAGAGCTATTTGGCAGGATCTATATATTTAAGATCTAAATTTTTATGATGTTTAAATTTCTAAAAGGTTATAGATTTTTAAGATCTGAATTTTTTAATATTGCTTTATTGGAACCTCTGAATTACGTACTGCAACAACCCGAGATACCCGAGTGAAAATGGAAGAGAATAACGATGGATTTCATAACCAAATTACCCAAGACGGCAGACGGGCTAGATGCCATCTGGGTGATTGTCGATCGGTTGACCAAATCCGTCCATTTCTTGCCAATAAAGGAAACGTATAAAATGGAAAAGCTGACCCGGATCTACATAAAGGAAATTATGAGATTACACGGTATACTAATATCTATTATCTCCGGTAGAGATAGTAGATTTACCTCGTGATTTTGGCAGTCACTCCAAAAGGCAATAGGAACTCAACTCGACATGAGTACTGCTTACCATCCCCAAACAGATAGACAAAGTGAGAGGACCATCCAAACATTGGAAGATATGCTAAGAGTCTGTGTGATAGATTTTGGCAAGGCTTAGGATGCCCACTTGCCACTAATTGAATTCTTGTACAACAGTAGCTATCACACAAGTATCAAGGTCGCTCCCTTTGAGGCTCTTTATGGACGAAAATGTAGATCACATCTTTGTTGGGCTGAGGTGGGAGACACATAACTAGCGAAGGGACTGGTACCCAACAACACTCTCACAGGTCCTAAGATTATCCGAGAAACAACTGAGAAGATCGTTCAAATTAGGGAACGACTGAAGGCATCCAGGGACCGACAAAAGACCTATGCGGATAAAAGACGAAAACCTCTAGAATTACAGGTAGGTGGTCGCGTACTGCTCAAGGTCTCTCCCTAGAAAGGGATGATACGCTTTGGGAAGCGTGAGAAATTGAATCCCAGATAGATCGGACCCTTTGAAATCCTTGCTAGGATTGGTTCGGTGGCTTATAAACTCCAGTTGCCACCAGAGCTCAGCAATATACACCCTGTCTTTCATGTGTCAAACCTGAAGAAATGCCTATCTGACGAAACTCTCTTTGTTCCACTTGATGAGATTGAGGTGAATGAAAACCTTCATTTCGTTGAAGAACCCGTTGAAATAATGGACTGGAAAGTGAAGTGAACAAAGCAAAGTCGTATTCCCATTGTGAAGGTTCGATGGACTGCCAAATACGGACCTGAATTCACACGGGAACGCGAAGATCAGGTGATGCAAAAGTATCCCCACCCGTTCCTTAGTTCTTGAAGGCTACATTAGAACGAATTTCAGGACGGAATTCCCTCTAACGGGGGGATGATGTCACAACTAGCAATTTAGGGTTTAGGGTGTGAAGCTTATACACAAAAATTTCCTCCATGTACCTTGTTGCATCTTATTAGTGAACTTCAAACTACAATGTTATATGAAATCATATGAGCATACTGTAACGACGTAAATTTCAAAACAATTTTTCACATTTTGAAAACACACTTTCATTCATAATTGTTATAAAAATTCCATTGTAACACATAACAATCCATAACATCACATCCCAAGATCATACTATATAAAACTCCCCATGTGTGTACTAATCAAGCCGTCGCCTTCCCGCGATCCTCATTGATACCTGAAACACATAACACAACATTGTAAGCATAAAAGCTTAGTGAGTTCCCTAAATACCACATACAACACATATGGCTTTCCAAACCATAACTATGTGGAACCTTTCGGTCCAAGTGTCTCAGGGGACTTCCGTCCCGAATCCCGGTAGACCTTCCGATCCTACCCGCATCGACCTTCCGATCCATATCATACATAGCATACATAACAAATACATATCACATATCAGCATGTAGCACATATATCTCATAGCATATAAGACCTTCCGGTCACACATAGGTACCCTTCTAGGTAAAGTATAGTGAGAAGACTCACCTCGGTATCTCGGATAATCTCGCACTCGAACGCACTGGTCTAGCCCCAGCCTAAACATATAACAATACTCTCAAATCAATAACGGCTCTCAAAGGCTAGATTAAATCCACTCTACGATTTCCACAGAAGGGTAAAATACCATTTTAACCCTCTCTGACCCAAAAGTCCAAAGATAGACCAAAACCCTAAAAGTCAACGAAAGTCAACAGGAGGAAGTACGCGGTGCGTACCTTCTTTGTACGTGGGGCGTACACCGACGAACTACAATCAGGGTCTCAACCCCTTACGTTGCGCGTACTGAGAGTTACGCCCAGCGTAAGTCTCAATTTCAGCCATTCCTTGGATTTTGGTCTTAAACGGTTAAGACACTCCTTCAACTTCCAGATCTGGCTCTCCTTAAGCCTCTTATCCCATAAAGCCGGAACCTTTGAGCCTTGGCATGGCTGTAAAGGTCTCTACACCCTCTAACACCTTTCCTTTTTCCTCCAAATGTCTAGATCTCATGCATGGCTCAATATTTATGTCCAAGATTACATTTTTATGAACATATAACTCTTATAGTCTAGAAATATGATAGATCTAGGCCAATGGAGACCATTTGCTCATAAAGTCTCCATCTTGGGACCAAAAACCCTAGAAATTGGTCCAAGAAGCACACAACACAAATGACAAGGCAAGGTTTGAGCTTTTTACCTTAGGAAGAAGCTCCAACCTCTGAAAAGCTCGGATCTACTCTTTCCCACAGGCTTCTAGCTTCCAAAATGGCCTCTTCTTCTCTTCCACCACCTTGAAATGACACTTAGAAGCTTAGAAAACCAACACACTATCTAGAAACGAAGGAGGACTCTCTATTAGGGTTTCACTCTCTGGAATGGAGGTTGAGGTCAAGGCCATAGCATTCTTTTTATAGTGCTTAAGCCCCAAATTAGGGTTTACACCTGGGCTCGCTACGCCAAGCGTACCCAGGCAAGTCCGCGTCCAAATTAAGCGCGCGAGTACATGCAACGTACTCTTCTGTATGCCCAGCGTACTCACTAGCCTAACTTTTTACTTAAGGGACTTAATTTGACAACTTGGGAAAAGGAGAAGGGTTAAATAGCTTTACCTGAATTTTGGGATATTACACATACATTTATGAAGCAAGTTGAGATAGCCTCTCGTAAGCCCAAGATGGATCAAATAGCTAAACAAAGTCAATTTTGGGCCTTTGCCCAAGAGTTCTCGGCGCAACACCCTATTGGACCGAAAACTCTTCCTTGGTCCTTATCGGGCCGAAAAATTTTCTTTGGGCCTTATTGGACTGAAAACCCTTTTATTGGACCCAATTAAACCCAAAAATCCTATACACACTCCAAATCAAAAACCCTTCTACCTTTGCGCTTTAGTGGATCGAAAACCTCTTAATGAGCCAAGTCAAAACCCGAAAGCCCACAAATTTATCCCATATAGGCCGAAAACTATATAGGATTTGGTTTGGGCAAGACAAAAAAAAAGAGAAAAGAAATTCCAATTAGTGGTGAGACCTCACCACTTTACATACCTTGAACCATAGAACAACCAAACCAAGCATGGGATTAACCTTAATGTCTCCATGCAACACCCACAATTACCCCTTGCAACCAAGCTTCTTCTTCTCCCTCTTTTTCTTATTCTTGGCCGAACACTCCACCAAACACACACATCAAACATTTTTCTTTTCACTCACTTTGCTCTCAAGAATCCCTCTCTTGTCTCTCAAATTTTCGTGAACCACCTTCAAAGAAGGGTACTTCTTCAAGTGGTCCTTGAACATTTTGGTAAGTTCCTTGTGTAACTCAAGTGTTTTTATACATGTTAGTGTTAAGATCACTCCATTTACACACCCATTTTCATTTGTATGATCCTTAGAACATCACCCCCTTTCGAGAACTTCTTCAAGCTATACAAGACTAGGCTCAACAACTTCTTTCTTCTTCTTCCTATCACATGAAATCAAGGTGAGCTTCATACCCCACGCTTTTTGTGTTTTTCATGTATTTTCGCGTGCGGAGGGGGGGGGGATACAAGTCAAATTGCGTTTAACCATTGGATATTTGCATACACCTATATGTTTATGCAACGATTTGTGCTTAAGATGTGGAATATCTCATGTTATTACGTCGTAAACTCGTGATTTACTAGCCTCATGTTTGCTAGATTAAGTTTATCCTTTAGATAATTTCATGCTTCATAGTTATGTGTTGAAAAACTTGTGTAAAAATGTATTTATCTTATGTAATTTTGTAAAAATCATGATGAATCTGCTCATTAACATATTCGTTATATGAAAATTTGTGGACATGGGCTGTTCACTCAAAAAAAATTTAATATCATATTATGTATATATCCATGCATGTTTACTTTTGG